ATGAAATTGCCCGTTACGCGTCGTAGTCGGAAACTCGCTAAATGCGCCCGAGCAATGCTTAAATACCACAGCGGCGAAGCCCCGCGCAGGTGACCAAAGTCGTAGGGTCGTATATGGTGATCAGACTAGAATTAAGACTCTAATTGCCTCATTGTTCAAACGTTCAGCACAAATACAGAACATCAAAGTTTGTAAAGATACTCCTAATGCGTGCAACAGATTTTTTTCAACATCCTTCCAATTATTCTTTGCAATGTTCTACAAAAGAAATGAATCGCTGGTACAGAAATAACGCTTTACACAATAAATCTTAGCTGATGATAAGAATTTGAAATACATATTGTATACTATAAAGACAGGTGCAAAGAATTATTGCGTTGACTAAAACGGTGGCGAATATTATTGGATTGTACAATTTTTCCAACGACCTGACATATCTGAAATTCATTCAAAATGCAATAATGATGATTTATCACTGGCAAAGGACTATTAGATTAGAATGTAAGACTCACTTGAACAATTCTATATATTCTTCGATAAGTGCTTTCAAGCGCTTCGAAACTGTAGTTGACTTCGATGGCGAAATCATTGTACTAGGACATATTCTACGAATCTGATTCGAAAGTATCTGGGAACACATCAAACAGTTTTTTCCACAGAAGATATAATGAATCTCGATCGAGCATGGAAAATCAAGAACAGAAGAAATAACAAAAATGTCACTTGAAAATGAAGAGATAAATGTGTTGTGAATTGGCTGAAAAGTCCATCCGCTGCTATCCAATGTAGCAACAGAAAATACATTCCTATCGTTTCTAAGGTTAAACAAATGAAGAATGCTCTACTCGAATTTAAGGTAAAAGGATAACGAGCTGGATAGACAGTTTTCGTAAACACAATCGATTCATTCGATCTAGACGGAGGGTTCAGAATGTATGCCCTGAAAGAAACTGTTGTTATTGATATTACTAGCAAATCTTTTCATAAAGAGCCTAGAGTGAATGTTATGTACAAACGAGACTTAAACGCAGATCAATTTAAGCATAACATTTCCATGACCATAAAATTAATGAAAATCCCTCATTGCATCTGGTGGAAGTCTTGCGTCGAACTTACCCGAATGGCTGTACTATATATGCTGAGAAAATTATGATAACCATGGTACCATAATAAATCCTAAACAAACGCGCTAATCTCGCAATTTCCACGATACTTTGTGTTAGTGTATTGCGAGACACCTGAACATTCCAATGAATGTGGCATGTCTTTATCAAGAAGTAAAATTCTCGTCGATAAACCAATAGTCGATAACCCTAGATAGACCAATAGTTTTTATTCCTTTTCTCTTCACTAGTTCATTCAAGTTCCATGTACTTTAAATGTACTTAATGCAGAGCTGAGCGTAGTGGCAGCGAATTCCATTGTCATCATGTGATCAGTTTTCAAAAGTTTGATGATGTTGTTTGTATTACAAGCCAGGCCAAAACATAATCCAGGTATCACGAGGGCGATAGGTATTATTTCCCAATAAGCCCATTTTGGTTCACGATGCGTGAGAATACTACCCATTGAATACAATCCGATTGATTGCAGAATGCGGACATCTCCGCCTAGAAGATGTTCAAAATACAATCGCAACGGCCGTCCCGTACTATCAAACTCAGTCATCGTAGTTCCCTTAGTGGATTCAACAGTACTGCAATGCTTGGATGAAATGGAAGAGAATAATCGCGGGATTCAATTACGTGGGGCAGCGGGTAGACTGCTTCGCAAGATCGATATAATGAGCTTTCAATATTCAACACCGTGTGCCTGAACGATATATGAGCTAGAAGATAAGTGGGGAAATTACACTACATAGCGTAATACAGGCACACTCAGTGATCATTTTCTCAAGTAAAAATTGATAAGGTTCTATGGGACTGGGAGCGTATTTTCGAGTCGCGATAGGCGTTGTGTATGACACAAACATAGTACTTGGCTCTTCAAAGGTATATGACTAGAAGGAATAGAAGAAGATTGTAAAACAGCGTTATGATAAGATGGGACGTCTTTATTGATAGACGATAGACGATTGATAGTGATGGACGTTTGTGGGAACCGAGCCCAAGGAGGCCATTCGTTTCATTTGTTAAATACTTGTATCATATCCTGGCAAGCTGCGTACAACCACGAGTTATCTGTGACATGCGCCTACGCAGTCTTCCACTGGAATTTTGCGAACAGACATTGGACATCATCAGAGGGGTTGATCGTGAGTCTCTCGTCTTGCCACCCCACTATTTGCATCGGCCAATGGTGAACACGAACTGTCCGTCCACAACCGCTCTCTCTCTCTCTCTCTCTCTCTCTCTCTCTCTCTCTCTCGCTCTCTCCCCCCCTCTCTCTCTCACTCTCTCTTTCGCAGCACGGACCGGTGAGAGTTCAGAGCACGCGATATCGTTGATCAAGACGCAAGTGAACTTACAGTGTTTCTACTCGTTCTTTTCATCAGGAAATCGATATAAATGCTGACCTCATGTTCAACAGTGAAGAGTGATTTCTGGGAATAACTGTGTTTTGGCGGTACTGAATCAAGTGAGCACTTCATGCGAAAAATTGTGAATAATCTCTCTTGATTACTCTTTCCATGTGAAAAATTGATAAATATGTCCCCTGAGAAAATCCAAATGGGTTCGGACAGTCATCAAACAGGACCTTTCCATATGTTTTCCAAAGCCTTAAGAGTTTTTTCTTGTGTGGTATAATAATACAGTATTTCTAATGGGAGTTGCTGTACCACAGAATGGTAACTCAATCTGGGATCCGCCTCAATAAGTGCGTTCAATTTCTATAAATTTCATTTGGTTGGTCGTCCTGGTTAAAGTTTAGTGATGCCGTGAGAAAGTAAGAGAAACAAAATAAGACAAGAGAATCTTTTCCTCTTGTAGATGAGGAGCAAGGCCAGAAAGAGGACCCGCTCCTAATTACGAGACAAGACAAGAGAACTGTCAATTCTTATTCCGCCTTGTCTTGTGGCATCACTAATGAAGTTCATTAGAAAGATTAACGTTTTTATCCGTAAATCTTTTAAACCAATGCGAATGTATTATCATATGCGACTACTCCTTCAGCTCCTTCACTTGCTAATCGATCTGAACGAAATTAATAATCAATCATGCAAGCGCAGTCTAATTCTGAAAAATGTTCATTCATTTATTACTTTTTCCGGGCTCATGTCATGAGGGGCTTGTCATTTAAGAAATCATTGGATCACTCAGTTGGAAATCAAGAAAGAAATCACTGAACATCAAGTGATTTCCATTTTCGGTAGTGATTTACAACGACTTCAAATGATAAAGAAATCAGGTGACTGCAGAAGTCATGAGAAAATATCCATAAATGTGGAGCCTAAATATTCATTTGCGGTATCAACTCTACATATTTTTTGTCATTCTACTGGCGAGTTGATCCTCAGTCAAGATTCGGCGCGTAAATTACCTGGGTAAATTAGATAGTATATTTACATGTGATAATTGAGGTAAATAACCCGATGCGTCTTTGACAAGTTGTACACCACGTGTTATTATTTCCCAACATTCTGAGAAATTTTGAATTTTTGCACTTCAGGAGTATACGTCAAGTCGCCAGTTGGGGAATTCCCAACTTTTGTTTGTCAGTGATCAGTGAATGGAAAAATTCGTTTTCATACAAAAAAAGTTATAAAAATAACTTTTTATAATATTATTTTAAAAACTGTTGATTATAACAAAAAAGTAAATCAATGTCTATAAAAATATTGATACAATAATTGAAGTTATTAAAAAAAGTTCTTCAGTTGAATCAATTGCATTTTCATTTTATCGTTCTCAGTTCTCGTAAGTTGGGCTTGGAGCTAGCCCGCGGGGTGGGGCGGGGAAAACAGTCGTATTCTCCNCCCCCCCGTGAGTGCGACCATAACGAGAGTCTACTGTATATAACAGTAATTGTCTTTGTGTACCTTTTGCACGATTCGAATGAGATTCCTTGTGGCCTGTATCGAATTCAATTGACAATTTTACATTTTGATAAAAGTTGAAGTACCTTCAAATAACAGGTTAGTATTGTCTTGAAGATGGGCGTACAAAAAGCACCGTGAGTTGATCAATAATCCAAATTAACTTCGTTGCATTCCTTAACAGTTTATTATAAGTGTAATGATAAAGGATTCATCTTTCAATTTCTGCGCCCCATTTCACCCATTTCATGACAGATTGCCAGGGCTGGGTAAGCTAAAAAACATCGATTACCAGGGTTGGTAAAATACCACCATTGGCCCCTTGTGAGGTGTATGATTATTGCAACGTTTCACCCTCACGAGGCAGGATCCTTGCGAGAAATGACCTGTGCCACATTTGACCCTTGCGAGGAATGATCTTTACGAGATGGGACCCTCATGACGATTGACGCTTGCTGGGTGTAACCCTCATAACGTTTGATCCTTACAAAGTATGGCCCTTGTGACGTTTGACCCTCTTACGCTACAACCCTTGTGAAATTGAGTCACGAGGGTTATTGATAGTCGGGCTAAGGGGTTTTCTACCAGTTATTTACCTTTTTTTACCATTTAGAGGTAAACTACCAGAATTCTATTATGTACCGTAGAAAACTCCGATTTTCAGTGAACGACTCAACCCTGCAGATTACTCACAAGGACAGCGAAGGATGGAAGAGCTTGTTGGGTGGAATTATATAATTAATGATGCACGTTTGAAGGAATGAAAACAAGCTTATGTATTGCCTCGAGGCATTTCCAGAAGAATTTAAATGAAGTTGATCATTTTCAACACAATCATTCTTTCTGGAATTTCCTTAAAATAAAAAATTACATAAAGATTATATCATCATGTGTGATTGTGTATCTGGATTGTGTATCTGGAGCTACTAACGTTGCAAAGGTCAGGATTGAGGATGACAAGCATCAGCATGATGTGAGTGTACCCCCACCACTCAACCCCTCTTATAAAGCGAGACGCTGGACTAAAATCGCGCATCGATTACATATAATTCATTTATCATGGTTCAATACATTAGTTTTACATTTTTCGTGGTCGTCTTGATCGCTGTTTATGCATTTCCCGTAGAAGGAGGTATAAATCGTAATTTTCTGTATTTAAAACTACACTTAAATTTTATTCCTGTGGTGATGTTTGGGATTCCTATATTTGTCTGCAATTATTACTTTGAATTCTTCAAGAATGCGATAAAAGCAAATGCAAAGGACCCTTAAGATTCTACGAAGATGTATCATGTAAACCGGTTTATAAAAACGAGGGTGACTGTTGTCCATACAAGTACAACTGTGACCATTTGAAAGGAAGATCAACCGATAAATGTTATGCCAATGGACACGAGTACAATCTTGAAGAAACTCTCAGGAAAGAGGACGCAAAGCCCTGTGATATTGGTTGCTTCTGTAATAAAAATGCAGGAGTGTAAGTATTTTTAATCAATTCCAATAATCGGTAGTGGAGCCGTAGTGCAAAATAAGTTAACTCTTTTACATCTCTCAGTTTACGCGTCAACGGTTTTCCTTTCTACACAACAAGATCTATGCGCGCGCGCTGATCTATTCATTTGTTGAAATGAAAAAATGGAATTCATTGAATTTCATTTGCTCGTGAATACCTTATAAATATTGATAATGAATCAAAGACAATTCGACTAATGATTGAAGTGAATAGCGAAGTAGAGTAAAAGAATCTATAAAGAATTTTTCATTTTCAATTAATTATTTTCAATTTTTTTAAATAATCGGTCTCTATAAAAGGATAGAATTTATTAATTTCACTGATGATATACATACATGTGAAATATATATATATATATATATATATATATATATATATATATATATATATAT